GCATAGCTCCTAGGATCATTGGGACAATCAAACCCCTCCACCACGATAAGGTAGCAGCCCCATGAGTGCCCACCATAAGTTCCTATATGTGAATTTCATGAAAATGTTACGAGTAAATGTCTAAGATGTACAATAAAATTTGGGGCCCAGGTGGTTATGGCAATACAAATGTAATATTATTGCTCTTATAACACAAGTGTGCCCCCAAAAAAACCTACATGTGTTTTCTATACCAGCTTGTGCCTGTCACGTCAGCAGGTGTTTGTAATTAAGGTAATTGAGTGAAAATATAAAGTTGGAAGATATTTTTGTTAAAGTTGCATTAGCTGGGTTTTGAAGCCTGATCTCCCACATGAAAGTCCATGACATAGACCGTTAGACCAATGGAGCTGTGGCAAAATGTGGTGGCAGGGGTTGTTTTGTATGTGTGCAGAAAGAAGCCACATTGCCAATACAATCATTGACACAAAAATGCATAATATTACAACAATAGAGCAGTWTYAAGACAATATTATAGTAAAACATCAAAATACAATCATATTAGTATTGTAAACACTGAACGATTGAGATTAAATATAAAAATAACTATGGTGCAGTACCAAGTTGAGTACAGCTAGGGGCAGTATTGAACCATTACAAGGCCCCATTGACTCCCATTTTATGAATTTGGAATAAAGTTTCAACATTAATATTTCAAAAACTACACGTTGTACAGATACCAAAAAGCATAGCAATCATTTGGCACAGGACCTTTACAGACAGAAATTACAATGGCAGCTGTAGGACAATGTAGGCTGGAGCAYTGGACTTTCAGAATGAACTTTGACCAARTTCAAATGTGTTTTCTAAACMAGCTTGTGCCKGTCACRTCAGCTGGTGTTTGTAATTAAGGTAATTGTGTGACAATATGAAGTTTGAAGAGATTTTTGTTAAAGTTGCAGTAGCTGGATTTGAACCCTGAACTCCCACATGAAAGCCCACAGCGCTCATCATGAGACTATAAGATATGTGGCAGAGGACAATCCCAGGGA